ATTCCTGCTCGCAGCTCCCACTAAAACTGGATCTGGCTGTGACAGCTCTTGGATTTTCAGTCCTGCAGCAGCTCTGAGCTCATGTAGCTTGGTTTTAGTTCAAGCCTTTGAGATCGCTCGGCTGTGGGGTGGGTTTCTCTTCAGGGGTTGTGCTTATGGTTCAAGACTGCGAGGTGGAGTTTCTCCGATTTGATTTCACAGTTTTATATAGTTCATGGCAGCCTCACTATCACTTAGGTAATTTTCTCCTCCCCACTTTCCTGCCAGAGCTTCAAAACAAACAAAAGAGCAACCCTCTCCCCAGCAAAGGATCCCAAAGCCTCCCTCGCTGGGCTTAACTCTTTCCTGAGAGCTGCTTGCTTTCCCGTTAAAGTGAAGGCTCCAGCTGGAAGGAAGGATTACAGTGGAGCCTGCTGCTAAACTTCCCTCAGAGCAAAGTAAACACAATCTGATGGGAGCAGAGAAGTGGAGAAATCCCAGCTCCAGCCACCGCCGGCGAGCCCCGTGCACCGTCCCAGGGCTGTGCTGTGGCCAGTGCCGTGGAAAGGGGGAACTCTGAAAACTGGCTTCAGAATCGGAAATTTTCTCAGCAAATTAAGCAGGGAACTCAAGGATGCGAAAACATCACTGACCTGAAAAGAAGTAACTCCATTAGCTTCCCTAAATTGACTTTGGTCAAACAGCGAGCACAAATGAAATGGTTTAGAGAAGGTCTGGGGGAGAGAAAAACCCATAGGCAAAAACTTCTGCATAAAACCTGGAGCAGAAGAGGGACTCGAGACTAATAAATAACTTCCTGGAGCTCATTTCCATTAATAACGCATTATAGAAACATTAAAAACAGTATAGAAATACTGACTTCAGTTTTATTACCAGGCTGAACTTTACCAAGTGGAAATGATTGGCCCTGGCTCTCCGTTTTTCCAGTGGCTGCACCGCAGGCGCGTGTGGGACCAGCTCTGGAACCGGCAGGACGAGGGATGCTCTGCAGCGGGCAGCAAACGGGGCTGAGTCACTGCATCCTAACGTGGCCTTAAAGAAACACGAATAGCTCCAAAAGTATTGAGTTAAAAAAAAAAAAAATTATTTAAAAACACTTTGACGTTTCCATTTCTTGATTTTTACGTCTGGGGACACCACAGACAACAGAAATGTCTTAGTAATCATTTTGGCCTTTGGGGATAAAAAAAAAAGATACGATCATTTGGGAAACCAAACTCTAGTTAAGTCTGAATTCTTCCTTTTCTTTTACGGCCAAATGCTGCCATCACTAAAGGAGTCATTGCCGACAGGAAATCAAAAATGAGGTGGCCAGGAAAATATCTATGGAAGGAAGGACAATGAAGCACTTGCTCAATGTAGTATCTTTTTGTGGACGCCCCCATTACACTTCTACAGTCATATGGCTACAGCCAGCAAGAGGATTAAAAGACAGAAAAAAAGATAGGGTAGTAGTATGTGCAAAGAAATCCCCAAATGGCATTACCGTTATACACGTTTATTGCTATGACAAAATTCCAGTAGCTTTTGTTTTTAGCTTAGGACAGGGGTTGGATGAGATGATGTTTAAAGGTCCCTTCCAACCCAAACTATTCGGTGATTCTATGATAGGAAAATGTCTCTTGGAAGGAAACATCTGTAGGCAAGAAATGTGCTCCAACGTCTATATAAAGATTTCTATTATGTTCAGTAACCTATTACTGAATAACAGAGCTATACAGGTCTATTAAAGACCAAAATATCCTGGTAAAATACGGTCTACAACATGGTATAAAACCTGAGTGGGGATACAGCCGGGATGTCTCCAACAGCTCCCACCAAACATTTTCTCTTTTTTCCCCTCTCAAACACACGCACACACACCGGGGAAACACGTGACTCGGCACATAACACAGGTTTGCACGCGTGTCAGTTCAGAAAATATTTTCAAAAGATGAAATGAGAGAAGTAGAGTGAGACAAAGGCCCTATTTAAATAAGTTGGTTTTTTTTTTCTAGTAAAGTGAGAACTTGGGTTGAATAACACAACTAAAAATAAAAGTTGAAATTTCAAAGTGCCAGCCACTAGGAAGACAGAACACCATCTGGAGAGGACCAACATCCCATCACACTGAACAGCACCAAGAAAAGCTGCTGAGCTACCTCTGGCAGGACAGGGCTCGGGACCACTCTCATACAGTGAAGGCAAAAATCTTAGAAATGCTTAGAAATTGTATTTTGGGACTAAAAATCAGTGAACTGTAGGAAAAGAATAAACCAAACCAGCTGGTGCACAGCCCCTTGTGTGCACGGGAGTTGCAGGGGAGCTCTGGACCACGAGCTGGTGCAGCCCCGACGGTGGGTCCCCGCCGGCGCCTGGTCCCCCCTGCGCCCCCCA